AAGCTTTTTTTTCAGTTTACAGCAGTATTTATTACACAAAATTTAAGTAAAGCTTAACATGCCGATCTTGCCCCGATCTCCCCTATATGTTATTACTAAATTATAAATGTTTTTCACGTATCTTAAACATTCTAAAATAATTAAGCCATTTATTTTTTAAGGATCTTAAAAAAGTAATAACAAATACTTGCACAATAAACATAAAAGAAAATAATAAGATGAAATCCTTAACCATGTTTTAGATTATAATGGAAACGTTTTCATAATATTTATATAAACCTCTCAGCAACTTTGTAACTTTCAATTTAATCATTTTTTTAATTTTTATTGAATTATATTAATTACTTTTTATCAATGTTTAAATCTTTACTGTATGGCGACCGGATAATCAAGGAGATGAAGAAGTCATCCTTTCTCTCTTGGGAGTACGGACAAGAAATAACTGCAGTTTTATTATTCTTCATGGGTTGTCCCGCTGTACGTTCTAAATATGTTCGCATCCCTCACTACTTTATTTTGAGCATGCCGGAATACATTATGGGTATGGAATAAAAGCTCTGTGCTGCTGACAGTTCGGAAAGAGCTGAAAATTAAAAAACATAAATTGTTTTATATTCTACAAGTTTGTATATTAACTCTTGTTTTAAATATTGATTTGATTTTAATAAAAAAAATATTTTATATGTCTTCTGAAAACAATAGGCCTATACTTTATTAATATATTTAAAAATATATTATCGTAAAGAATTCTTTGTAATAAATACGTGCATATTATTTTGTTTAGTAATAAATTTTACTTATATCTATATTTTTAATTTTTACCTTAAAATAATCTATAGGATAAACCAAGATTATATGATGAACCGGATTTGTTTGTGAACACGTGTAATGCATAAACTGAAAGTTGTCTCCGAGTATAGATGTGTTGTGTTAGTTGAAAACTATACTTGCTGCGTGTGCTGTTTACGGGCAATTGATGTAAAAAAAATAGGTGAATAAATCGAATGTTTCTGTTTCTGACTTGCATAATAGGTTTTATAACCGGTCAAGTAATATAAAATATTTATTTAAATTATACTTTTATAACATTTTAAAAAATTTCTTCTCATTTAATGATGTCGATTAAACTGTTAAAAGTTAAAAATTTTATATACAAAAATTTCATAAAACAGTAAGAAATTTTATGTGTTTTTAGAAAAACAAGTGTATAAGAGATAAAATTTAGAGATATCAGTTAATTTTTGCATCTTAGAATACAAATATTTTACGATTAGTCTATGAGAAACTTAGCACCTGAATCAACATCCTATACAAGTTCATAAATCAGAAGTATAATCTTATCTCCATTAAAATTGTATTATTGTTTCCGATATTGAACATTAAAAGAAAGAAGTTATAAGTCAAATTTTTATAAAAATTTGTCACTATCCTCAAAGCTAAACATTTTTCTTTTTATAATAATAATATAAAAATATTTTAAAATAAAGTTTCATAACAGATAACGCCGCTTATAATGTTTCAAACTAAATTATTCTTTTTGAAAAATAGAGAAATTTTCCATAATTAAAAAACTCATTTCCTATTAAACTCTTATTATTATTATTATTTTATATTCTGACTTATTAATTTCCTGTTTGAGTGCCGGAATAGTCGAGCAAAAGCCTTACCGGCTTTAAAATTATTATAAAAGAATTGCGTATTGTTTGAGAAAATTATTATGTTATACAAATGAGCAATTCCTTTCATATATTTATTATATTGAATTATGTCAATAGCAGAAGTGTAGACGAACAGATCAGGGTCCCTTACTGAATATTTTTGAATTATGTATGAATTATTCCTCAGAACAGCAATAAAGAGTAATAGAATGCGATGCAATTTTAATATTAATTTATACATGGAAATTAATGTAAAAATTACTAATCCTAACCTAGAGGCTATCCATATACAGATAAGCTCTACTAGATATATAGATCTCTCAATTTAATTAATACTTCATTTTGTATATGCACAATACAGAATAACTAGACCAAGTAAACAGTGATTCAGTATAGTTGATTGTTGTGTCAAGTCTTCTCTTATTCTCTAAACAAAAGCTTTAATAAAAGGTAATTATGAGTTTCCTGTTTTTATTAGTTGAGCATTAAATAAAATTTTATTATTTAAAACTTCTTATGTAAATATATTCGAGAAAAATGTTCTTATTGCACTTAAGAAAATATCTCAAGAGTATTCTAGGAGAATGAAAAAAAGTTTTCATTAAGTTTTAGAAAAAATTCTTTTAAGATCAATTATCTCAAAATAATATCTGTTGTATAAAAAGAAATAAAATAATTAAATGCAAATAATAACAATTTTTACAAAATAAATAATCTTTATTAGATATAGCCTATTGAATTTACAAATATTGTCTTAAATGAAATTATGATTTAAAAGCTAAGAAAAAGCAAAAAGTTTAGTGATGAATATTTAAAAATTCACTTTTTATCAAGTCTAGTCGTAATTGGTTACCGTAATCTTATCATTTGAAAATATTTGTGCTCTTTCTTTTAAAAAGGAGTAAGCAAAGACAAAGAAGCATCATCGGAAGTTTGAATATAATACGAGTGACAAAATGATGTACTTTCTGTTAGCTTTTTTTATTTTATTTAGTTTGGGGGTAAGTTTATGTACATACAGGCTCTTTTTTCTTATTATAGTATTTCATAATAACTTTAAAACCTGAAATATTTAGGTTGAATCTGAAACCTGAATACTTTTTTATCAAATAGGAAGGAAAGTTTTGCGAGACAGATGTCGATTGCGAGAAGGGCGAATGTTGTGTTCTCCTCTCCGGTACTATCATACATAGAGGATATTGTCACAAATTGACAGAAGAAGGTTTATATCATAAAATAATAATTTATACTTTTAATAATAATTAGCTATAAATATAATATTTCTACAAAACAATAAATTTCATCTTCTAAATAATTTTAGAAGATGAAATTTATAATTTTAATAATTTAAAGATTTTTATATATTAATTATGT